CATCCTCATTAAACCATCACCAAAGCCCCACTGGGATTTATTGTGCTCAGACTTATCTTGCACTTGAGACAACATGATATTTATAATTGCAGTTCAGTATAATAAGTTCTTGGTCATGGATAGTTTTTCCCTGTTCTACTGATGGGTCATGTAGCTAGTTTACCAAACTTTCTAATTTTTATTTGGCGATGGGAGGAGGATATAAGGGAAGTAGAAGCTGTATAGTAATCTTTGTTAAATGAAAAGATAGGAGAATAAGGGCCACCTTTTCTAGACATGATAGGGATGGAATTGGTTTCAACTTATTTATACTATGTTACTGATTTTAACAATTTATTTCAGAGATTTTTGGAAGGAGGAGGGAAGAGATGAGATAGACGAGAAAGTCTTTCTCAGGGGACAGTTGGAGTGAACCACTTAAAATTTGTCAACAGGAGACTGCTTGTGGGGAGCTGTGCCACTATTCAGTTATGGGCTCATACAGGCTGGACAGCTTTTTTAAACTACATATGGAGAAAGGGCGAATAATCCTTTTTACTGATATCTAGAAAACTCCATTCTAATATAGATGAAGGCAAGCACCCAGGAACTGCTATTATTAATCTGGGTCACTTGGCCTTATGTTAGAGATGTACATGAGGGCAGTCTGGATTTGCATCATTTTATAACAAAGTATTAAGTTATGTGTGAAGATTCATTTGGCCTGATGGTTCAAAAAGTTGAAGCATAACTGCCCCATTCCAACTTGTCTCCTTGAGTCGTAGCGCCTGTATTTCTTATTTGCTATCTAGGTATGAGGATTTTTTGAGGTGAGAATTTATTTATTGAATATAAGCAGTTCTTGTTAATAAAGGTAATATCGAAAACATACAGTTTATATTCTTTGAAATGAAATGCTAATAGGCTCAAATCCAACCTCGTCAAATGGAAACAAAGGGATGTATTGGCGGTGGGATAAGCCAACTCTGTTTATACAGGTTTTCACATGACTTTTCTTTTAAAAAGTGCATGGAATGCATCCAAAACAAATAATGTTTTGTTAGATGAGAAGACCAAAAGGAAAATCCTAGAGAAAGGAGGATGGATGATCTTTCTTTAATGTCAAAACTGACCTAAACACATTCCCTCCCTGCCCCCACCCTTGGCTCAAGATAATTTTCTCAACAAGACGCAGATTGCTTCAGTCTTTGCCTATCACCCTTGGAAGCACTTTCCTTATTATTAGGAGCGGGGGCAGGGTTTCCTCTGAGGATTTTTACAGCAATGAAGGGGTCCTCCTTTAAATACTTTCACATGATGAGGGAATGCCGCTTTCAAAGTGCCGTCATCACTGCGGCTTGTCTGCCATGAGACAATTTACTCTTGGGTGAAGGTCCTTCTTGGCTTGATTGTCATTAAGGACTTACCTTTCTGATGGATTCTTTTTCTATAGAGCCTCACTTTTTCTGAGACCTAGCAAAGGAGCTCAGCCTTCTCCTCTGTTACCCTTATTGGCCACTGTTCTTTTTTGAAATATGTTTTATCACACAGGGTTATAGTCTTTAACATAGTTTCTCTTGTTGATCTCAACTAATCTAAGATTGGGTTGACATACTGAATATTCCATTTTAAAGACTGGATTTCTTCAACAATGCAAATAGACACTATGAGTTTTAGAGTAGTTTTGAAATGTCTTTTTTCTTTGAAGCATCACTTTCAATGTTTAAATATGTCAAAACAAACAACAAATAAACTACTCATGTTTCAACAATGTCCCAGAACACATCGAAATCATTTGGGACCTTCATTTTCCTCCATCTCACCCTACTCTATCTTTGAGTATAGTCTTCTATAAATATTTAATTCACAGGGACAAAAATACAGTTTAACAGCTTGAATGTATTGTTTAAACTATGGTTTAACAGCTTGTTCCAAAGCAATCCGCCCCCCCCCCCACCAAAAAAAATCATTGATAGGCAATGATTCATAATTATTGGAAGAGGTACATAAGAATAAGAAACCCCAACTATAATTGACAGTTCTTCTCAATGCTATTGCCTAGGGGTGAGTTTCTGAGTCTGTAGTAGTTTTAGATAAAGGAATAAAAAATTACGTATGTCCCAGCTAGAGTACATCATTTATTTCATTACTCTTGGACTTTCTCTTTGGAAAGTTTGGTCGTTAGAAGGTGAGGGAATCAGTTTGTTAAAGGTATTATTATTATCTGCTTCCATCTAGAGGTCCCTTAAGTGCAACAGTACAACTATCCAGACATAGCAGTAAACGTATTTCTTAAATCCTGCATCCTCCTTCCTGCTGGGGTGTTCCAATGAATGACCTGTCAGTCTTTTATTGAGGAATAAAGTGGAAAATAAGAAGGGAGTCCTAGACTAAAGTCAAAATATCCAGATACTAGTTTTGGCCCTGCCACTTCCCACCTGTATGACCTTGGCAGATAACTTATCTTTCTGCTCCTCCCTTTTGACTCCCCCAAATCCCTGTAAAGTGAGGTGATTTAGATTATCTTCATATGTCTACCTTCCTAAATAAATAATAAGGCTACTTTTCCACTTACATAGGTTTAATTGTAGTGGTTGAGTCAAGTTTGATACTGCGGTGAGAAGCTATCATTGATATTTCTTAATCCAGTCTTAAAAAAAGAATCTGTTTATATTCTCTCTCCTGTGGGACTCTGTGATATACCATAATTATCTATTCCACTTGCTTGTTTAAGGCTAATCAGAAATCAGTTTAGTAAACATTTGTGCTGTGCCTTTGTGCTGAATACCACGTCCAAAAATAAAAAAACACCACACCTGTTACTGTTGAGTCGATTCCAACTCATAGCCACCCTATAGTACAGAGTAGAACTGCCCCATATGGTTTCCAAGGAGCACCTGGTGGATTCGAACTGCTGACCTATAGTGGTTAAGAACTATCTTAACCACTCTGCCACCAAGGTTTCCAAATACCACGTAGGCAGTGAGAATACCCAGTCAATGAGTTCAGCCTCTGCCTTCATCACCTAGTCAGGGAGGAAAGCATGAAAACTAATAAATCAAATAAATCACAAATCCAGTGTGATAAGTAGAACAAGATAAGTATATAAGATTCAGAGGTAGCATACCAAAAACAAAACAAAAAAACCAAATCCACTGCCATCAAGTCGATTCCAACTCATAGTGACCTATGTATATATATTTCTGCATACCTCTTTTTAATTCTAAAAATAGGAAAATGTAAGGAAGAAATGTAACTTTGTGGTAAGTTAAAAACAAAAACTCCTAAATCTTTTTACCTGTTTACTGTTGAAGCAAATGTGTCCCCCTATAATATTAGTTGCCTTAAACCACAATCAAATGAGTCATGCCCTGAGAAGTTAAAAAAGAAAACACAGAATGCTTTTTTCTTTTCATAGACAAATGACTTTGTTTTCCAGTGTCCTCAAAATCATCATTAGACCTCTCTTCGCTAGTAATTGGCACTTCAGTCCTTGAACAAAGAACACTTAAATGTGTCAAGTAATCATTATAAAGCAAATATTATATCCTATACCCATATACCCCCATTGCCGTCAAGTTGATTCCAACTCATAGCGACCCTATAGGACAGAGTAGAACTGCCCCGTAGTGTTTCCAAGGAGCACCTAATGGATTTGAACTGCCGACCTTTTGGTTAGCAGCCGTAGCGCTTAACCACTACGCCACCAGGGTTTCCACTATATCCTAGGATATATGAAAATTCTCTTTAGAATTTGGAAAATAGGGATGAATGAACTGTCTTAAGAATATTGGTGAGTCAGCATCATTAGTTTTTGTTAAAATGTTATAGTCGAGAAACAGTCTTGAACTCAGCTCAAGGAATTGGAAAGTGCTTAAACTCCTGGTGTTAAATATGGCACTGACTATGAAAGCTATACTGTTGATAGTGGGGGGCACGGAGTTTGGGGGAGTTTCTTACAGAGACTTGGCCTGAACTGATTTGTTTGAAACTGGAAGTCATATTGTTGAAGTTTGCACACTGTTTTCTTTCAACAGGTGTATTAACACAAAGCACTATGTTTTTAAAGGGCTTCTTCCTTTCTGCAGGAATAAATTTGACTTCTGAGAAAGAAGAAAAAATGTACCAGCAGTTCAGCAACATCACACCTCTTTCATCATTTTGGGGATACAGGCTTCAGTTCAGTGACTCCAGATACATATTCTGGAAACTTGTAAACACATGCCCATAAGTACTGACCGTAAACCTGATTGTATACTCATAAACATTTGCCCAATCTTGTGGTCCACTTACCACTGAGTTTCTTAAAACTGTGCATGTATTTTAAAAATCATTAGAATTAATGAAAATTGGAACAAGGTGCTATTTGAGGGAAAGGGCTACCTAGAGATGCCTGAGCAATGCTGCTCTTTCAGTTTCTTCTAGGAAGTGAGCAAGCCTCTTGCCCATAAAATAGAAGCTATGCTTTCGCGATACTCCCTGTTTAGGGAAATTAGATTAAGATAGAGACAACAGGATATTGATTTTTTATACTTTAATACAATGATTAACCATCCAAACTTAGTACTGAAAAAACAAGCTTCCTAAAGAGGCGAGGAACTGTTGAAAATTAACAGCAAAACCAATAAGATTGTATTTTGGAAGACATCATACTGGAAGACTCAAAGTGCTTCAGGGCCACTTGGTAACTCTGGAGATGAGAAAAAGTAGTGAGAGAAAACTTTTTAAGTTTGGAGATGCTCTAGGAAACTATTGGATGGTCTGATAATGCCTGATGAAACATAAAACCCCAATGTGACTATAATCTGAATCTGAGGAAAAGGTTATTCTTAAAAATAATTGCACGTTTGCAAAATATATTACCATTTAGGTTTGACCTTTTTTTTTGGGTTGAAAAAGTTAAGCATGAGTCATATATTAAATATTTACATTCTTTGCTTAGTATTTCTTTAAAATTGCATCCTAACCTAAGGTTATGTAACTCTCCTCTCTGTTTTGGTTCTTTTGCCTCTTCACCCCAGGTTGGCCTTCATTCCACGATGTGATCAGTTCTGATGCAATCACCTTCACAGACGACTTTTCTTACGGGATGCACAGGGTGGAAACAAGCTGCTCTCAGGTCAGTTAACCCCGCCTGAAAACCCAATTCTCTGCTCACTCTGCATTGCAGACACTTTCAAGACTCCTGGTTGTGCTAAGTACAGCAACTAAGGCCAGGTGACTGATCACAAGAGGGACAGAAAAGCACATGAAGTCTATATAAATTCCTAATGGTATTTGGGTATTCAGGTATTTAGCAAGTCCAGTTAAATGTTAGTAACTGGCTTTAATACTATTGAACAAAATCATTGGTAGGGAAAATTGTCTTCAATCAACTCAGTAGAGTGAGGAATGGGCTATTCTTGGGGCATATAAAAATTTCATATGTGGCCTTATATAACCTGATAGTCCCCCTCTCCCTGCAGTTCTGAGCATCTAACAGCAGTGATTCAAACACCATCAACAAAACCCCAGAAATGGCTTCTCTTGGGTGGGTGTGAAGAGAAAGGCTGAAGAGAGGCGGTAGGAGGGGCAGTTCCGCAGTAGGCTGTATGAGGGCAGAGTGGGAATATGTGATAAGGTAATTCCATCTCTGCTTCTCGTATTTTGTAGGCGTATCCTTGTTTTCAAAGATGTTCTAATTAATTCAGTCCACTCTGCTCTAAACAAGTAGTGCTGGCTCTAAGGATAAAATAAGCATGGTTGAGAAGGAGGCAAAAGCACCATGTTTATTTTGTCACTGTCTGTCAGGAGACTTGAGCTTGTGTGTATTTTGTACTTAAACCCAGAAACATAGTCAGAACCTTTTTGTACACAGAGTAAGAGCAACTGCACACACTAGAGCAGGTAGTCCTGTTTTTCTAATCTGTTGTAAATAAGTGAAATGTGAAGTCTGAGTATGGTAGCACTGAAATTCCTTGATACTACAGAGGATTTTGTTGAGGGGTGTCTGTTGTACTTTTCAGAGATAAAAGGGGCACAATCAGGAAGGAAGCTACAATAGCAAAGTCACTGCCACACTGGCCTCCCTTAGCATTCTACTGCCTGCGCTTTATCCGTTTTTCTTTAACTCTGTTCATCAGGCACAAGATTTTTAGGGAGTAGGTGGCATATTTACTACCAAGTAGCAAGGGGGGTGGGTGGAGATTGGTTTGAACCTAAACATCAGTCCTAATGAATTTCTTTTTTTATTTTTATTTTAAATAAGACTAGCAAATTTACTGTCTTCTGAGTATAAGGGCCACTCTCTCCCTTAAAAAAGCAGACTTTATATTTTACCTAAGCCACATTTTTCAGATCACTCTTCTTTCTCAGAAATGAGCCTCTGAGTGTGATGGTGGACTTTCTGATGCTGGGTTTCAGCCCCAGAGATTCTAATGTAATTGGCCTGGGGTAAGACCTGAGCATAAGCATTTAAAAAGCACCCTTGGCTATTGTTGTTAGGTGCCTTCGATCAGTTTCCACTCACAGCAACTCTGTGTACAATAGAAGGAAACAGTGCCTGGTCCTGTGCCATCCTCACAATCGTTATCGTGTTTGAGCTCATTGTTGCAGCGACTGTGTCAGTCCATCTCGGGGAGGGTGTTCCTTTTTACAAGTGACCCTCTACCGAGCATGATGTCCTTCTCTAGGGACTCTTCCCTCCTGATAACATGCCCAAAGTGTGTGAGACAAAGTCTCCCCATCCTCCCTTCTAAGGAGCATTCTAGCTGTACTTCTTCCAAGACAGATTTGTTTGTTCTTCTGGCAGTCCATGGTATATTCAATATTCTTCACCAACAACATAATTCAGAGGCATAGCTTCTTTTTCGGTCTTCCTTATTCATTGTCCAACTTTTGCATACATATGAGGTGATTGAAAATACCATAGCTTGGGTCAGGTGTACCTTAGTCCTCAAGGTGACGTCTTTGCTTTCCAACATTTCAAAGAGTTCTTTTGTAGCAGGTTTGCCCAATGCAATGAGTCGTTTGATTTCTTGACTGCTGCTTCCATGGGCGTTATCCCAGTGAAATGAAATCCTTGACGTCAGTCTTTTTTCCATTTATCATGATGTTGCTTATTGGTTCAGTTGTGAGGATTTTTGTTTTCTTTATGTTGAGGTGTAATCCATACTGAAGGCTGTGGTCTTTGATCTTCATCAGTAAGTGCTTCAAGTCTTCTTCGCTTTCAGTAAGCAAGGTTGTATCATCTGCATAACGCAGGTTGTTAATGAGCCTTCCTCCAATCCTGATACCTCATTCTTCTTCATATAGTCCAGTTTCTCAGATTATTTGTTCAGCATACAGATCGAATAAGTATGGTGAAAGGATACATCCCTGATGCACACCTTTCCTGATTTTAAACCATGCAGTATCCCCTTGTTCTGTTCGAACAATTGCCTCTTGTTCTATGTACAGGTTTGTCACGAGCACAATTAAGCGTTCTGGAATTCCCATTCTTCGCAATGTTGTCCATAATTTGTTATGATCCACACAGTGGAATGCCCACAGTAACCTTATAAAGTAGGCACTGTTGTTTTCCTTCATTTTACAGTTGAGGCAAGTGAGGCACAAAAAAGGTCAATTAACTTGTGAAAATTTACATAGATGTAAGTGGCAGAGCCGAGACTTGAATTCAGGCAGTTTGGTTCCAGAGCTCTTTATGTTGTTGTGATTGAGATAAATTGATCAATTGATCAATTAATCGATCAATAGGCCGACCAACCAGCCTGCCCTAAAGAGTCACATTAAACTTAAAAAAAAAAAACCCATCATCACCAGCAGTTAGTTTAATACAATTTAGAATTGAATTCAATTGAATTTTAAATGATGTTTTTCTAACTTCCACACAAAATAAATTATCTACCCAGTAATATGAAATATTTGTTAACTAGGTAACTCTGGGTAGATGGCATATAGTAATTTGTAACTTAGGTACAAAGTTAGTAAACCTCTATTAAGGCTAGTGGTTGTTTTTTTGTTTTCTCTCTCTCTCTCTGTGTTTTAATTAAGCTGCCTTAATGGCTATTGTATGACTGCCACTCCCCTTTTCAGTTAGAACCCACTTTCAAACATCAAGTGCTGTGAAAACCAAATCAGAATGGCACAGAAAAAATGAGGCAGAATATATTAACTTTCCCTAAGGCTGATTTCTACTGTCTGATTTCTTTGTGGCTAATTCTTATAATTCATGGCTGGAATAAACCTCTTTCTTTGTCGCTAGCCACAGAGATAACGTCAGTAGTAGTCAAGAAAAGACCATGATGAAGGGTGTCCTACAATGACAAAAGAGAAATGAAATCCACAAACTATGCCAAAATTAGGCAACGTTCATGAAAGATGTCAAGCTAAACCATGTATAGCTCTTGTCCCTTTGGTTAGATGCCTAGGTGACTGTTGACTGTTCTTTCAGTCCTTTCCTAGCAGTGGTATTAAGAACTAACACTGATCTATTCTTTTTTAGTTTCTTTTTCTACCACTTTTACTTCTCATATTTAGAAAATATTTGATCCTTTCTTTATTAAAGTCTTGAATTTAAACAGAAGAGAGAGAAAAATTTCTGTTCCACTAAAGCACGTGTGAATGCATGCTTGGCGAAGTAAATTCCATGCCAACCTTAGGAAATTTCCCAGCCCTAAAGAATGGGAGTTCCCGAACACTTAATTGTGCTCTTGAGGAGCCTGTACATAGAACAAGAGGCAGTCGTTCGAACAGAACAAGGGGATACTGCGTGGTTTAAAATCAGGAAAGGTGTGTGTCAGGGTTGTATCCTTTCACCATACTTATTCAATCTGTATGCTGAACACTCTGAGAAGCTGAACTATATGAAGAGGAATGAGGCATCAGGATTGGTGGAAGACCCATTAACAACCTGTGATACTCAGATGACACAACCTTGCTTACTGAAAGTAAAGAGGAAACACTTACTGATGAAGATCAAAGACTATAGCCTTCAGTATGGATTGCACCTCAACACAAAGAAAACAGAAATCCTCACAACTGAATCAATAAGCAACATCGTGATAAATGGAGAAAAGATTGACGTTGTCAAGGATTTCATTTTACTTGGATCCACAATCAATGCCCATTGAAACAGCAGTCAGAAGATCAGATGACGTATTGCATTGGGCAAACCTGCTGCAAGAGACCTCTTTAAAGGTTAAAAGGCAAAGATGTCACTTTGAGGACTAAGGTGCACCTGACCGAAGCCATGATATTTTCAATTGCCTCATATGCATGCCAAAACTAGATAGTGAATAAGGAAGACTGAATAAGAATTGATGCCGTTGAATTATGGTGTTGGCAAAGAATATTGAATATACTGTGTCAGAGCCTTGGTGGCACAGTGGTTAAGAGATTGGCTGCTAACCAAAAGGTTGGCAGTTTGAATCTACCAGCTGCTTCTTGGAAACCCTATGGGGCAGATCTACTCTGAACTATAGCGTTGCTATGAGTCAGAATCAACTCGACGGCAATGGGTTTGGGTTTTTTTTAATGGACTGCCAGAAGAACAAACAAGTTTGTCTTGGAAGAATTACAGCCAGAGTGCTCCTTGCAAGCAAGGGTGGTGAAAGTTCATCTCAAGTACTTTGGACCTATTATCAGGAGGGATCAGTCCCTGAAGAAGGACATCATGCTCGGTAAAGTAGAGGGTCAACGAAAAAAAGGAAGACCCTAGACAAGATGGATTGACACAGAGGCTGCAACGATGGGCTCAACCATAGCAATGATTGTAAGGATGGCACAGGACCAGGCAGTGTTTCCTTCTGTTGTACATAGGATCACTATGAGTTGGAACCACTCGACAGCACCTAACAACAAAGAATGGCACATTTGTTGACTTCTGTATGTGGATGGAGCTGGGATGGCTGCCACTCAAGATGATAACAACTCACTAAATTAAAGTGTGGATGTCTTTCTTTTCAATCTCTTCATCTTTTAATTTGTATACTTCACACACTTTTATTTTCCTTTTGCCTTACATTTTTCTTTTTCATTTTCTAATGCATAATTTTTACCTTGACTTGAAAAAAAATAAAAAGAAAACTGATTTAATATTTTCCATACTAGAGCAACCACTTTTGCTTTACTTGTGTTTTT